CTTTAACTTTTATAAGAGGTTTAGATTAATATTATTCCTATAAATTCCAAATGCATAATTTTACTTTTCATCAATAAACTTAATAAATCGAGAAGTAAATATAATTAGAATGTTAATTGACTTTTATAATGTATTTCATAATCTCTTGAAAAGATCTATACAAACATTCCGTGGCATAAATTAAGTAAAATTACATTTTTCTACATATATACATCTGTTTTCTATGGTATAAAATTAATCCTAGAAAATATTTCTTTTAGTACTCTTAATTAAAGAAGTGGGACAAATTCATTATTGTTCATTTGTATGTAAATAAGCAGCGATTCTTATAAAGTATTTAATTAAATCAAAAGATAATTCTTTTATTTGAATTTTTATTAAATTTGTTAAATAAAAAAAAACTAAGAATAAAAACTGAATTAACAATTGTTTACATTGAGTATTAACATGAGAATTTGAATAATCAATAGACTATAAGTAATTGGTTATTTTTTATTCTTATAAAATTTATTATAAAGGATATAATACACAAATAAAATTGATAATTTATGTTTTAAACATTATATATTAATAAATTATATAGTTTAAGAGGTGCGGCCATTAATTATGTGTACAGAATTGGGGGTCAGTAGCGCAAAAAAGGCAATTACCTGGAGCCCCCACCAACAGAGACCCCAAAGCAATCTTTTATATGAAAATATTTCCTTCAAAAAATTCCCTCGAAGGAAAATGTTTGAAGTCAACACTGTACAGTACATGAGTTCACTAATTCAAATTTGCCTGGACTCTACGAAGCTATAACGTGCCACTGAAGGGGTCGCATGGAAAGGGGATTGAAGCATTGTCTACGTAAACATTTTTTATAAGACAACTTACTTATTATTAGAATAAAAATATACGTTAGAAAATATTTTAAAGTCATTTCTCCAATGTCAGGAGGTCCATGAACTATTGTACATGTAATTAAAGGGAAGAAAGTTTGCCAAGAAGTTGCCAAATCATTGTACACAACAGGGATGAAGGGAATCTAAATTAATTCAAAACTGTACGTACAGTACAATGGATGACCCCTAGATCTATAGTAAATTTATTATTATGCCCCTTAGACATTAATTAATTTTCAGAGATATTAATTACAGATTTTAATGTTATATTATGTAATTTTTTATATTTATTAGAGATTGAACAGATTTATAATTTTCAACTAAATATTACCAAGGAACTGAATTAATTATGTTTTGAATTTAAAATAATATATATTAATCGGTATATTTTATTAATATACGTTCGTTATAAGATAAAATAATTATAAATATTAGTATTATCAATGTTATTAATCTACAATTTTATTTTTTAAAGTTTATTATAAACTCTTGAGAAAGTAATATGTAAATAAATAAAACTTGCATTAATTTAATTTTTAAAATTTTATTAATATTCAAGAACTTAAGAAAGAATATTAATTTGTGATTAAATTTACTTAAAAGTTTCATAAAGTTTAAATTTAAAATATATCAAGCGTAGGAAAAAGATGATTAAAAAAAATTCCATGAAAATATACAATTAATTCTAAAGGAAAAAAAGCAAAGATTTAACATTAAAAATGTTTTAAAATCGAGAATTTTTTTTACTTTATTTTAATGAAGATCAATTATAATTATACAAAAGAAAATTCTTATGTTTAAGCTAATAAATTACACTTATTTTGGTAAAACGAAAATAGAAAGCGACCTTGATTAATGACATAATGCAGCTGGCTGTTTACAACATTGTAAATAATAGCTAATTTACTCTTAAATTTCTATAGAAATTGATATCTATTAATGGAAGTTTGTTTTGAATGAATTGAAAGATTTAAAATTCTTTTCTTTATTTAAGAAAATATTTTAAATATTTTATAAACAAAATTGATGTAATATGGGGCAAAATATGTCAGGTATTCTTTAATGAGGCAATTATCTAATTTTAGAATAAAATAAATAATTTTTTTATACTTAAAACGAATTATTCTGACGTCAGTCCACAGCAATATACTGGATGGTGTGTCCCAGGTATGGAGGGCCTTTTTTCATAGCCGTAATGGGCCTGCCGAACCTACAATTGGAATGAAAAAAAAGGCCCTCTTAGTGCCCACAGAGCGGTGATTTAAAAATTCAAAAATAGAATTCTATATTTGGCATTATTCTAATCTCTAAAAAATCAGGAAAGTATCCTATAAATGCTCTATTTTTGATAGATATATCCTTAATTATTTTCATTTTTTACATAAAAAATGACTCGAAATTTTATTAAAGAATTAATTAAATTGAAGATATTTAAACGTATAAATCTAAATATTAAAATTTTAAATATGACAAACAAGACATCAGCGAGTTAATATCTTTTCAAAGATATTAAAGATCGTATCATATCGACTCGCCTATGTAAGTTAATAATATATAAAATAAAGCATGACTTAGTTGCCAATTCTAGTAGAAACATAATATAAAATACATAGAACATGAAGCCAAATTCTTAATTTAAAAACATAAAAAATTTTATTAAAAAATTACTTATAAAGAAAGAAACTGTTTATTATATAGAGGCATTATACATAAAAAAACATTTAAAATAAATTGAACAATTCTTGTTAATAATATATTTTTAAAGAAGGTTCATGAGTTAATGTCTAGACAAGAAATTAGTAAGAAGAATTAGAAGAATAGAAATATAATAAATTGAATATTATTTTTTTATATTTTTCATATCAAATGTAATTTCAGATAGTTTAGATTTATAACAGCTTTTATAATATTTAGAAATGGGATATAATGCCAATATTTTTTACAGAACAATAACCTTTTTCCACGTTTAGTATACAGCAAAACCTATTCAAAACGGAAACCTGCCTAAAAAGAAGAAAGTATTCGATACTGTACTGAACGTGTCCGGTTTACATAAGTTTCATTGTATTGATTTTCGTACTTATATATATATATAGGCCTATATAACCACAATCTTTATTTCTCTCCTATAAAAATTTAAAACTTATTTTATACTCAGATCATACAATATTACTCTTTAAATTTTAAACAGGAAATAATATTCAACATATATTTTTCCCCCAACTTTTTTAATTTTTTCTGATTTATAGAAGTTTTATATAACAGTCAATATATATATATTTTTTACAGTGATTAAAACATATTTTTGTTTTAGTTTATTTATTTATAAGTAAGTTGCGTTTCTTTATTAAATTCTTTAAGAATTAAATTATTTTTCCCTTTAATTTTTATTGCTGTATGGTTATTAGAAAGCGGATATAGTAATGTTTACGATGTTATTTACTTGGAATATTCTCGTATAGATTAGTAAATGACAGCAAATGAAAGGAAGATTTTCTCTTTGTAATTAAAATACGAAAAATTGTCATTACGACATAATTTAATTATCATAAAAATTTCTTCCGAAGATTAATTTCATTGTCGTTTTATTCCTGTTTATTTCGATAAAAGAAATATATTTTAGCAAATTATTATTAATGTTCTTTACTTAAAATTCTTAAAAATTAATTAAATATATCTAATAAGTAATTTATATTGTTTTTTTTTTTAAATATATATAACTAATTTTAAACTTGGCAAAGCTCTTGATATTAGTGACAAACATAAAAAGAAGAACTTTTTGTAGGCTTGAAGAGTGGGCTACAATTCATTTTTAATATGTATTTTTTAATGTAAATTCTGGGCCATAACGTTTAAATAATTAACCGTGACCTTCAGTTAATTTACATTATTCAATTATTATAGATAAACGATGCCGAGTATAAATAAGAATGGTCAACATCAGCCAAGTGTCTGTGTTTATCCAAGCGAAATCAAATCTTTTATTATCTAAAATTTGAAAAATCTCCAAGTTATAAAGAGAAAAAAAAAACTAGAGAAATATTAAATTAAATATACAAGAAAGCTGTATATTTAATTTAATACTTTTAATTTATATACGTTTATATTAAATTAATTAGTAAAAGTCTCAATTAATCGAATTGTTTTTTAGATTTTTAAAAAATATTTCCTTTTTTTTCTAAGCAATAAAAATAATTGTTTGATAAATTGTTTTGAAATAATTTAATTTTTAAATTGTTTTTATAATTAAAATTTTAATTAAATTTAATATAATAAGTAAATAAACTGTTAAAATTGTAACAAAAACGTTTAGAATTAATAATTTCGAGTGGCTGCTGGTGAAATTTTTTTTTTCTATTTTAAAATAAATTTTATATTTTATTAAAATATTTATTCTAGTATAAATAATACAATTTTATTAAATACTTGTTTATTCTTTATTAAATTAAAGTTTTTTTTAAAGTTCGTTTTAAATTCTAAAACCATATAAAATTAAAATTACTTTACAGATTAGTTAATTTCAAACATATATCCCATGTCGTTCGCATGATACATATTAAAAGGAAATTTTGAATTCTTTAAGTCTATTTGTTGAAAGTTAATTGAATTTGCCACTCAGAATAACAAGTTTATATGTAAAATACAAAAGCCAAAATTCTTTATAGGATTTATTTAACCTATATTAAAAGATTTTATAGCATAAAATTTAAATAAATCTACATTAAAATATATTTTTTTAAAGAGTTGTATTCAATTTTTTTTTCAATTTTATGAGCGAGAAATCTGAATATCATCTATATATGATGTTTTAAAATACTATTATTAAACGGGGGTGGCCTAAAAGTCGGGTAACCTTTGTAAACAAGATTAAATTGTTTTCTTATTTTATTGTTTACTTAATTGTACTTTTTATCGTATTTTTATCAATTTTGTGAAGGAATATTGTTCTAAACTCAGTTTACAACACACATACACATACAAATAATGGTTCTGGAGCACACAAACAAACATGGTTCACTGACTTTTGGGTAATCTTTCATATTCATCCGAATAATAAAATATTTTAAATATAATTTTCCAGTTAACTGTATTACAATTTTAAAAATTTAAATTTACCAATAAAAATCATTCTCATTGAAAAATCTGTCTATTTCATCAGTTATTCAACCAATTA